GTCTAATTCTAATTATGAGATTAGTGGATATATTAAGACTTTCACTACAAAATATTCCTAAACAAAAGAGCACATGTTTAAATTTATTCCTATACAAATAAAAGATCAGAATAGGGATCTGTCAATTGCCAGACATATTTTTAAAAGATACCTTTATGTTAAAAGTTTGATTAATGAATTATGTAAGATGAAAATATAAGTATTGCTTTTTTATTTTTCAAATGTAAAATGTAATCTTGTGCTGAAATGTTGTCGGAGGGTCCTTACGGGTTTTGTAGTTTTTTTTTTCGGCGATAATGGTTCAAGAATATAATGTTTTCAAACTATATGTTCATCACCATCAGTGAATCTTTAGTTAAATGTATGCAAAATATTCACTAACAGCTATATGATATACAGCGGTTTAAGAGCGTTTTGCGCGTACAGCCTCCTACGGTGTACTAATAAGTTAGTTTTCCTTAGTTCTCACGCAAGCATGATCCATGTCTCTGATGTAAGCGACTGTTTACCATTATTTGTCTTTAAATAGATATTAAGGACTATTAATGGTTTATAACAACAAAAGAACATGCATGATATTGAGACTACGGTGTTGCAACGTTCTAGTTAATGACCCGTCATAAACAGTCGGTCGCTGCGTAGTAATTGGAAAATTGTTATCAAAAATAATAAATAATATGTGCCACCTAATCAAAGCATTTACTTATAAATTTTCATTTATGCTTTTTGTTAAAAAAATATTGATAAAGTTATTATGTATAGAAGGGTTTTCATACCAGAACTATTTATGACCAACGTATGACTAAACCTGATTACCGCCGCAGTATAACGTCACGGAGTAATGATTTTGAAAAAATTCAAGAATTTTTCAGAGAATTATTATCTTTACAAATTGCAGATATGAAGTTAAAGAATGAAAATATTTTCATATTGTAAATGTCTGTGCTGACTGATGAGTCAGCTTAAAACATCAAGGTACTATTTTTTACCTGATTACCGCGGCAGTAAGATTTGACGAATAGTATTAACATTGGGGAGGCATAGCCTCCCCAAAAACTAATTGATTCGCATTAAACTAATGTTCACATGACTATCCATATACATGTATAACCAATGAATGATGAGCGCCAAAAGCTCGCACGACGCTTTAAAAGGGCCTACTTTCAACAAACAGTTTAATAAAAATTAATACCCATTTTATATTAAAGAATATAGTTTTCTTACAACAATTATTTAAGAAAAAAACGACAATAGCAAAGGTCTTGCAGCTAGTAAGCAAGTAATTCCGATATAAGATATGCACAAAGCAAATTATGTATCCTTTTTTACAAAAAATGTCCTAATAGAACTGCAAGCAAACATGTCGTTCGTCATTTTAGTGAAATAAAACATAATTGTTTGAATATGTGACAATAGCCATGATTAGGTGAAGATTTTTCCCAACATGGTGGTTTTCATGAGATAACAATCTTATAATAAATGTTGAATTATCAGTATTAGAGAGGTATCTCTTATTTATTTCATACTCTAAATTTAAAGCATGACGAGTGACTGATCTGACAATTTCCAAACAAGATATATTGGTCCAGACCTACATTCAGTGGTACACACATTTTGAAAAGAAAATTCCGGTCACGTCATGTCAAGGTTTCAAACTCGAATTTCGCGTGTATCAGATGCTACTGATGGTTATGAATGGTCCCATTTAATGGATTTGGTAATATTATTAAGTAAATTCAAGTGATTTTGACCCGTACTCGGCTGAAAAACATGTATAAGTCAATGACGTATGGGGACCTAAAGCGATATTTAGTGCATCTTTTACTTGGTTAAACTCTCAAGAAGTACAATATACCAAGGTGGTGCATAGCTATGCTTTTCTACATGGCTAAAAGTTAAAACAACATATTTTGTCAGTCGGTCCGTCATTTGGAATAGCACATTAATCAAGATGTGTTTGCCGTTGAAATAAGTAGACCGGTAATTGATTCTACAATCTAGACCTTTTGTAACGATCTTTGATTACAAAGTTCGTCAAGGGCACTTGAGAGTTTGTCCGATTTTTCACACGGTGCCATTATTATTCCAAAAATGTTTACATAACCCAGTGAGGACAACAATGTAATTATGAAGATTGAACAGTTTTATGTAAATCAGACATCAGCTGCTGGTAGTGAACATCAATCACGGATGATCTCATTAACGTATCCCCGACGTTGCAAAAAAATAATAAAAAACATTTACAAGAGATATAATAAGATAGTGCCCTCGTTCTCACGCAGGATATTTCAATAAATATCGAACACAGACATTGCCGAAAGCCGTTTCGTCGTTTATAGAATATAAGCAAAAACATCTGAAGAAAGTGTGATCACTCGGAAACATCAATCACATAAAAAAATTGCATGAAAACTGCAGACTCGATTTTAACTGAGTCTGTGTATGAGGGATAATGAGAAATTGCAATATCTCTCATGCCCCCTAGCACCGGCTGGGGCGGCATTTAATTTTTAACACTAAAAAGTGATGGAATCAATGATCCCGAAGACAAGAAAAATACAACAATGAAGTAAAGTACGGGGTAACTTTTTTACCACTGCCACACAGCAATTCACACCTGCTGTTGTAAAGTAGAAAAATCTGGAGAAAGTGTGATCCTTCTGAAGCATTAATCAAATTTGTATAAAATAAGATCATGTTTTATTAGAGCAAATAAAAATGCAAGTTACATCAGTGTGGGAATAAGGCGACGTTATATAAGAGTATATAAACACGAGGCATTCGATTTCTATAAATAATACACGAGTTATACATGTATAATCAAACTATCACCTATGTTATCAAAATGATTACTTATCGCATACAAACTAGTATGTGCCTAGGCAGGCACGGATCGGCCGGCTAAAGGGACTGAAGCCCCCGCCCCCCACCCGACAAACGCCCTTTCTTGTATATGTTTTATGAAAAAAAGGCACCGGCAATGTATCCAGAAATAAGGGAAAGTTCCTTTAAAATGTTAGTATCTTATACCGTTGCACGTCTGAAGTTTTCTGGGTAAATGTAGTTCTTTAAACGTGTATTATAAAATGTGTTAATCCAATAATGCATCAGAACCTATCACATGATATTCAAAAAAAGAGTGGTATTTAAAGCTCTTGCATGCATTTGCTAAAGGCTGAAAAATTCTGGAAATTTGTAGAAACATCAATTTAAATAGTGCAAATGAAAATGCATGAGAAAAGTCCATTTTATTTGTATATATTTTTCAGAGATCGGCTAGAATTAAAAACCCTGTCTTGCATGTTCTTAAGTCTCTGTACAATATTATTTTCTCAATTTTAAAATCATTGCAAGTTAGCTGTATAACCCATCGAATAGACATGTCGTCTGTAGCGGCTCATTTAATAAGACCTTAAAAGATTATGCTTTTTTCATTGCTCAGACAAGCAGGCCCGTGATATGTAATATAAAATCCACCAGTCATTAATATTGCGATTAATTTGACAGCATGTTTAATATAAAAAAGCAACTGAATTTGAGCGCCAATTTTCTGAAGGACACAAATCTTATTCTTTGACGTGACCCCTCGCTCTTTTTGAAATGAACTGTTTAGATTATTAATTTTCAAATTCTCACAAACGTCAGCCAGAAAATGTCTACTACGCGTGTGTTTAAGTTTGAAAACCTAGGTTTGCATCCTAAAAGGGGCAAAGGGGAGTTGGTATGCAGGTCTTCCCGAGAGAACACGAAATCTGCATTTTAATTAAAATTAAATGGCGACTTCGCGTGCATTTCAAAACTAAAATCGGCTGGAGTAATAAATATGCAAACAGCCCTTCGTTCCTATATTATATGTTATTTTGGTTTTGGAGTGATATATGTGGATATATTACCTGTTAAGATTTTATATCACCCGAGCCGTTAGGCGAGGGTGATATTTTATCTTGGCAGGTAATATATCCACATATATCACTCCAAAACCAAAATAATAATTTTATTACCCTTCACCTGCCGAGTTTAGACGATTTTTTAAAAAATCATTGCTGTTTCAAATGAAACGTCGAAATAAGATTCCCTTTAGGATACCTCTCCGTCACAACATGACGTCACATAAATACATGACGTTTTTTCCCGTACCTTACGAAAGTAAACAAGAGAAAAGGAGTAGACTATTGAACGCACTTTTTTGTAATTAATATCAAGCTTTCACAAGGTCATATTTGTTTTCGATACTGATAGATATATGTATCATTACTCTACTTTGGTAAATATTGATCATTTGTCAGTTAAAATGTGCTTTTAAATTGGATTTTACACTGCGTAAAATCGAACCGTACGCGCATCACCTCAGCGCATGTTGTTTACAACGTTGGGTACCAAACGGGGAAATTTAGTGTGTATATTACCCGTCTGGCTCGGTTATATCAATTTCTTTCGGGTGATCAATATCCAATCAAAAAGGCGGAAAAAATCTGGAAGGGTAATAAACATAATTATAGATCTATGTAACGGACATATTAATCCTAAAAAAGGAGGCAGGTATGAAAGTTCCAGTAGCCCAGGGTGTCTTGTGAGGAAATAAAAGGTGCTTCAGACCCTTTGTATGTCCCGCATGACATTTTACATAAAAATACAAATACACTTATTATTACAGAATAAGTATTTACAATCAGAATTGTTAGTAAACCATTTTAAACCATGACAACTCACAGTTTTAATTACTGTAAATAATGCTATAAACAAACTAAGAACATTGCAGCAAAGAGAACATGTATCAATAAATAATGTCAAGAAACAACGCTATTTTATTTAATTATTTTGATATAACCTTTTTTAACATGAACCGTTTAAATATCAATGCTATATTTCATATTATACAGAATAATAATAAAATTCTCGTATGTTTATTTTTATTCGAAGCAAAGTGGCCGCTCAAATTTAGCGGTGCGAGAATATAGGGAATATTGATATCTTTACGATTATATGTTTACATGCGCACCGGCTGTTGAGATGTAAACAAATGAAATGTGAACTGTTTTTATTCGATGAATTTTAACATTTTTGCTTTTTCTGTTGCATAATTAAATTAAATGAATAATCTGATATGCTAATTGAACTTTAATTGAACTGTTTAATATTTAAACCTAGCTGTAAAGATGATGATCGCGTGATGATCTTAACTGTTGCTAAGACTGCAAAAACTTGAAAAAGACTGAAGTCGTGAAGAAACTGAAAGAATGATGGACTCGCATTTTTCCCCTACTTATTTGCAGAATCTACTACAAACACTGAAGTCATCTAAAATATACACCGATCTACAAAATGCAGCTCAGGTAATACGATCTGAGGGATCTTTCCGATTATCATTTGACAAAAAACTGATCATGTTCTTTGATCTGTTCAGTTTCAATAATTTGTTTGTTGGAAGTGTCTAGCCGTACGGGCCCTTTATATTGGTAGGCAAAAGTTCTAGCCTTACTGTATGTGAGTCACGTACGACTGGCCAAATGCACTGTTGAGGCTAGCTGTACAACTCGCGTATGACTAGTCTTATTATTTCAACTGCAAGACTGACAGACTTTACAAACTGATGAGTGATATTACGTACAGCTAGCCACTTCCTTTGATATTACGTACAGCTAGCCACTTCCTTGTTTGTGCTCCAATTTTGAATTTATGCCTTATTCTCATGAGTGGGTGAGCGTCCAGCAGAAAAGACATGGTTGATTCAGATGCTCTGTTCTTTGAACGGTTGTTTTAAGAAGAAATTGAAAGTTTTTGAACTTTTACAAATTTAATTTATTTCACAAATGCACAAATATCATTGCACATATCCTTGATATTTGTTGCGCATGTGCAATATTTCAAAAAAAGATTCACAAATCAAACAGAAAGAAACATATATCAAACCCCACTTTAGGGACCTATGAGCCTGTGCTTTATCAGTTAATGTCACCCACTTCCTAGATGTAATAAATTAACCAGGGAATTAAAAAAATAATCTCACAGTCACAACTACAGAGCTTTGAACACATGATCGACATCATGAAATGATGAAAAAGACAAACTAATCTTTCTTTTTTAAATGCTTATCTCAATGAGATTGTTTTGCTGTTTGTAAATATGAGTCAAGAGTTTTTTTTAGCATAATACTTTACAATGTGCAACATGACTTTCAAACAGGAAACCTTGAAATGCAGGCTTGATTAGAGCTTGATTACCATGTAATTTTTCATCAGATCAATTAACAAAATATTTTCATTTTTGTAATTATTTTGAAATTAAGTTTATTCAGAATTTCCCCCTCATATAACTGATACTGGAAAATGGCACAATGCCCAATAGAAAATAAAAAGCAAATTTTCGAAGTTCTGTCTTTAGTTTTAAATTCCCTCCATTACCAAGATTGGTAAATTAAATAGTTAAACAAAAGTGATAAGTGATATGTGATAAAAACCAAGTATAACCACATGATGTGACATGAGAGATATTCCTACCCGGATAATAGCTTGAATTATCAGTGTTTTTATTCTATACACTTTCTCCATTGATGTCTTCAGACCTCGACTTGGACAAGTACAGTATGACAGGTCTTTGAAATTGATTTTGGTATCCTTTGAGAATAAAGATGCAAATCCTATTTGCACAATCAATTTTTTTTCATTTTATTCAGAGTGAAATCTCCAAAACGTCTGTTCGAGTATCAGAATTGAAGAAAGGTGTTCAGTCGGGCCTAGCAGCATCAGGTGAGATATTATGTGATGTTAATAAAGTGATGTCATTTCTATGCTTTTTTCTTTTTTAAGTAAAAGGTTGGATTTTTTTTTTTAGAAAGAAGTGAAAAATATATCAACTTTTTGAATTTACATGTATATAGCCAAAATCAATAAGCATATATCATATGTTTTAGCCATATGATTTCGGTTTAATTATGAGTCATGTACTTTCTTTACATTAAAAGAAACCTATCATCTAATTTATAATCTATTTGGCTCACAAGGTTAGGGATTTAAGTTTCTTATTTCATCTAGGGCCATTTGCAGATGGTAATCTCAAAAATTATTTACTAGTAGTCATTGAAAGTTTGCCCTTCTTTTTTTGTCTAATATTAAAAAGCCTTAATTTAAACTTTCTGTCAACTTTTTATACCATATATGTGGTGAAGTTAAAATCTTTGACCTCATTTGATACAAAATGTAATATTTAGTTGAATTTGTTCTGCTTCAGAATCAGATAAAAAATTCATTATTCAAAACATCAATTAAATTTAATGCAAACATAGTACAGAAAACGTTATTAGTACGCTGATAATACAGAGTCCCATGATAATATGATATTTAAATGTATTAAATATGTCATGATAAGATATTATGCATATATTTACAATGATTAGATTATACTGTAGGCTGGGAGAGGAAGTTACGTAACAGGATATACCAATACTTACAGACACACCCACTATCTTCCCACCCACTTTCAACACCAGCAGAACATATCAAGGAGCCTTTTGTATACCTGAGGAAGGCACAGGTAAAGCATTTTATTAACAGACGGTAAACTTTTTATCAGATGTCATCTAAATTGTCATATAATGATTCAGTATCTATCAGGCGCCTAATATTCCCATATAACTCCGTCCCAAACTTTTACATACAGCTTACATTTAAATTAAGTTATAAAAGCTATACAAGAGAGATCAGCAATCATACTTGGACATCAACTTAGAACTGATCATTCATGTAAAATTTTGATGAAACTGCACCAGTAGTTTTTGACGATTAGTCCATACATTAGTTTTGACAGACAACAGAGAAATGATCCCTATACATTACTCTGTAGCAGGCATCACATCAAGTGGCAAAACTTAAAAAAAATTGCACATAATCTTTAACTGCATAATTATAATATACATGAAAGTAAATTGTTAAAGAATACTTTAAAGCATTTAAACATTTTTATAACAGAAAAAGAAAGGTAAATCGCAAATGTCTGCTACAGCTAAATAAGGGAGCATTGTTCTGTTGGGGTATGAGGAAATGACATTTTTTTTAAAAAATTTGCATTCAGTGATAATGAGAAAATTTGTAAGTTTCACACATTTCCGTCATTTCCCTCATTGTTTAGACAATTTGCCTTTATATGACAATTCATTCAAAACATTCTCAAAGTAATGCCATGTAATTCCTACTAAAATTTTACTCAGAAAAAAGGGTAAGCACTACAAGAAATATTATTCTTTGTGCCAATGAGTGACTTTATTAATGATTTTCATCTTAAGGTAGACCATGGGTAATGGGCACCATAAAGAACTGTAAAATTGACAACATAGGACAGTTATATGTCTTCAAGGTCACCTGTATGCAAAATTTAAATAAAATTTACTGTGTGGTTTATGAGTTATGGATAACATTTTCTGAAACTAAGACCTTTCCATTTGATGGGCTTATTTCAGAAATGAGGAAACTGTAAAAATCTGTAATATCATCATTATAAAAAATGTTTTTCTATTGCTCATTGTTAAGAAACAAATAATAACATTCAAGTAACACATTACACAACCAAAATGTTTGTATCTAAACAAAATGTTCTTAAAATGTATAAAAATGTAACCTACCCCACCACTTTTAACACTAATTTTACCATTTCCCTATCTAAAATGCCTTATTCAAAATATCACTAAAATTTATCGAAATAAGGGTCTGTTTTCAAACTTGCCTAAATTTTTTCAAAGGTATATTAGTTGTTTCATGCGAAATATAAAAATACTTTTACCGTGTAGTTTTTATTTTATCGAACTTTGAAAATATCTGGTATCATATTTGTTATAAATTTTGGCATTATTTAACAAAAAAAATACCTAAAATAATTATATAATTAAAATCAAACTTTTTTTTCTTCATAAGGGATCAGAGAGATACATAAAAAATGTTAAAAAAAGAAAAAAAGAAAGAAAAAAAAAGTTGCCCCTTCTGGGGTTTGAACCCACGCCCCTCAATTTCAATGTAGTTTACAAGCGATTCTAGCCTATTTGAATACTCTTCAAAGTGGAGGTAATACATTACCCATGGTCTACCTTAAATGAAAATTGGAGTAAAAAACCTTGATGTCCTAAGCCATTAATAAAGGTAAAAAAAATGTGCCAATTTTCTTGAAGAGATTGTTCTGGTTTAGTGATAAATTTTCTATTTTCCAAGTATTTGAAAGCAGAATTAAAATCAAAGCAAAAACTTTAAAATAAATTGGTGGAAAAAGGGAGAATTTTCTAAAACTTCATCTAATTTTAGAAAGGCTTTTATTCTGGTGTTGTTAGCATTAATTTTGTGAGATTTTAAGGTTTCTTTCTTAAAATTCAATAAACATCTGTCTGATCCAGATTTCAATGTTATTAAAGAAGCTTGCAGGATTTCATGTAAAAATTGGTAGTTCAGCTTTACTTTTGAATCAATGGAATTTAGTATTAAGAATCTTAGATAGGAATTAAATTATAATTTAGCAACTTAATGGTCACTGAAGAATGAGAAAGAATCAGAGAGAGAAAGAATCTGAGAAAGAATCTGAGAAAGAATGAGAAAGAATGAGAGTGAGAATGAAAAAGAATCTGAGAAAGAATCTGAGAAAGAATGAGAAATAATGAGAGTGAGAGAGAAAGAATCTGAGAAAGAATGAGACTGAGAATGAGAAAAAATGAGAAAAAATGAGAGTGAGAATGAGAAAGAATGAGAGTGAGAATGAGAAAGAATCTGAGAAAGAATGAGAGTGATAATGAGAAAGATTCTGAGAAAGAATAAGAAAGAATCTGAGAAAGAATCTGAGACAGGAATGAAAAAGAATCAGAGTGAGAATGAGAAAGAATCAGAGAAAGAATGAAAAAGAATCTGAGAAAGGAATGAGAAAAAATCAAAAGAATCAGAGAAAGATGCTTGAATTTTCAGTACCTAGAAGAAAAGTTTTACTTTTCATAGAAGTCATTGGATGTCACATTTAGCTCAACTACTAGTGCTCAAACAATGTGGGCTGGGTGCCTAAATAATTATACTCGCCCGAGGATTTTTTTCGAGATGCACATTGGCATAATTTCTTGTATAGGTTTTGGTGGCAAGTTTTATCTCAAGAACTACTATAAGATTAACTTGAAGCTTAAATTTGCATGATATACATTGCTTGTGTCCCTCCCTGAATCTCTTGAAGTAATCACCAGGTCCCTGTAAAATCCTCATGTATTATATTAATTATTCTTCTTCAGATTGCTTGAATATTAAAATCTGAAACTCTTAAAGCTTTTCAAGGAATAGAAATGCTATTAAAAAACAACATTTAAAATCGGTTCACTGCAAACAAATGCTTTTCTTTAGCTTTTGACGTTTTGTCTTCTTCTGAAAAAATGACATTATAAAATATCAACAAATGACTCAATGTCCGTTTTACTATTTACGCTTAATTGAATGTGATGTTAACATAGAAATAAAAACTTTGTCAAATTAAAAAAGGAATCTTTCAATAAAAACATTGCTATATGAAAACAGAAATATACAAAACAATATACATAGAATATGGATCTACACAGTCATGTGATACAAAAATTCTCATAAATAATAACACATGTGATAAAAAATCTTGATACATGTACTAGAAGAAACATACTACATGTATAATTATGTGTACCAGCCCAATAATATGTTTGAAAGATGACAAAGTTATATGTTTTGTTTTTAATTTATCTTATTATACATGATAATGCTTCTACTATGTTTGGCTCAAACTACCAATATTTCAAACAAATTTGCTTGGGTCCTCAAAATTAGTACGCATGTGAACGGGAGAGTCACTGTATGTTCGGAGACATAATTTCAGGTCACTGACTAAAGCAGATAACTCCAGCTAGGAATTTTTGCCAAATTAATTTTGAAAGTTTTGCAATGGCTTTTCTTTATTATCACTGATAATAAGGTTTCTCTTTATTACACTGTGAGTCTTTCCCATTTCAATAAACTTTCTTTTCATTCTAAAAAACCTGTTTTTCTACTATATGTCTGACCCTGAGATGATACCATATTTTTACACAATTTCAACATCTGGAATACGTTAGAAATTTGTAATAAACTGAAAAATAATTAGCTTGACATTTAACAGCATGTGTAATTAAATTTGCACTTTTGGAATCTTGTTCAATTAATACTTTTGAAGCAGTAAAACAAATGGAATAAAATGTGTGTGGCTTTTTCCAGATGAATTTATATCTCTTAATGAAAAGCAAGGAAAAGTAGCAAGATTAAGTTTTAAAAAAAAGAAGAGAAAAAAGACATGCTAATAGTAATGTAATTGATGATTAGTATAACTTTTTTCTTGCATATTTGCCAAAGCGATTTATCTGTAAATCATAGAGATTACTTTCATTTGTAGGTTGCAGACTACTAAAACTGTCAGCTTAATTTGTTTGAATCAGGAGAAATTAAGTATTAAATTAATTGACATATACCTTGAATAAATAGGCATTCTGGTGATTTTTTGCTAAATTAAATCGGAAATCTTTTGAAGCCTGTATTTAACCCAGGAGACACCTGGTACTAACAAGTGTTTTAATGATGTAAAATGAAGGTGCATGAGATTATTTCAGATTACTGGAGCTTAAATTGATTGTAACTGATGTATTTTTTTATTATGTTTTTTACTGTCTTTCTTAGTGTTTTCCCTGCTTGTGTTAAGTTTGATTTAAAACAGGCTCAGTATTTGATTTTAAACAGGCTCATTACAGACGTTTTAAAGGCATTTTAAATCACATAGATCTGAGATAATAATGCTAGCAATATAATACTTAAGTTTAAATGCACTGAGTGCGAGTTTTATCTTTTTAATAGGGTTAATTATTTCTATTACTCGTCTGGTAATTGATTTAATTCTTCCATTTTTTGTGGAGGTATGGGTATGTTTTTTTAAAGTCAAACAAATAAACAAACAAACAAACAAACAAACAACAAAGTTAGTGATTAGGGTATGCTAACAAATTAATAGAAATCCTTTGCCTCAATGCTTCTGCTAGCAACAGAATTCTACCCATTGGACCAGTGCAGAACAAAATCATCCAGAACAACTGTCTCATTTGTCTGCACTTTTTTCTATTTAGTCAGTACATATTTTGAAAATCTTCCCTAAAATAATAAATGGTGGTTGTCCAGATTAAGAGATGGACAAGTCCATTTAACATTTATAAGCATGGTAAGGGTTAATAGGAGAGTGGTTAATGCAGCAGTCTTTGAATTAATTGCCCCACTCCAACATGGGTTCAAATTCTGCCAAATTATACCTGCCACTTCAATGCCACCTTTTTCAATGGTGGACGATTTTCCACCAAGAATGCCACCAAAACACCACTCAAATCATGAAAATGGTGAAAAATTTGAGCAGAACTGATGGAAGAGAATTTCCCAGTAAATTCCACCTTTTTTACACTTAATGCCACCAATAAATGGAAAGTTGGTGGAGTATTTAGACAAACTTTCACCATTATGCCACTTTAGGGTGGCAAACTCTTTTTCCACTAGATGCCACTTTTTTCCACTTATCCCCACCATCAGGGTCGAAAGTTGGTGGAGTATTTAGACAAATTTCCACCATTATGCCACCTAAATGCCATCAAAGGATTGTGGCATTAAAGGTGGTAATTGTGCCACTACATTGAAAATAAAGGGGAATTTGATCATTTTCCAGGTAATGCCACCTTTTTTACACTTAATGCCACCCTTGTCAGTGGAAATAGCTGGCATGTAGTGGCCAATCTAGGGACAGAAGTAACTTTGAATTCTTTCCTCAATGAAGAAGCTTCCAGTTTAACCAAGCTGCCTTACTAAAAGTTGATGGTTCTACTCAGGTACCCACTTATGCCAGTTGTTATTCATGAAAGGGCATCTGAGGTCTTCATAACCCAGTGAAGCTGTTCTCCATTAGACATGGGGATTAATCATAATCATTCATGGTTATTAATAATTATGTCTCCCCCACCTCGGGGGGAGACATATTGTTTTTGCCCTGTCCGTCAGTCCGTCCGTTCGTCAGTCCGTCCATTCTTCGTTTCCGGACGATAACTAGAGTTCCTTTTGACCTACAGCTCTCAAACTTCATAGGATGAATGGTCTTATTGAGCAGATGATCCCTATTGTTTTTGGGGTCAGTAGTTCAAAGGTCAAGGTCACAGTGACCGTTGGTCAATTTTCGTTTCCGGATGATAACTAGAGTTCCTTTTGACCTACAGCCCTCAAACTTCATAGGATGATTGGTCTTATAGAGCTGATGATCCCTACTGTTTTTGGGGTCAGTAGGTCAAAGGTCAAGGTCACACTGACCGTTGGTCAATTTCTCGTTTCCGGATGATAACTAGAGTTCCTTTAGACCTACAGACCTCAAACTTCATAGGATGATTGGTCTTATTGAGCAGATGATCCCTATTCTTTTTGGGTCAGTAGTTCAAAGGTCAAGGTCACAGTGACCGTTGGTCAATTTCTCGTTTCCGGATGATAACTAGAGTTCCTTTTGACCTACAGCCCTCAAACTTCATAGGATGATTGGTCTTATAGAGCAGATGATCCCTATTGTTTTTGGGGTCAGTAGGTCAAAGGTCAAGGTCACAGTGACCGTTGGTCAATTTCTCATTTCCGGATGATAACTAGAGTTCCTTTTGACCTACAACCCTCAAAACTGGGGGAGACATATTGTTTTTGCCCTGTCCGTCCGTCAGTCCGTCCGTCCGTCAGTCCGTCCGTCCATTCTTCGTTTCCGGACGATAACTAGAGTTCCTTTTGACCTACAGCTCTCAAACTTCATAGGATGAATGGTCTTATTGAGCAGATGATCCCTATTGTTTTTGGGGTCAGTAGTTCAAAGGTCAAGGTCACAGTGACCGTTGGTCAATTTCTCGTTTCCGGATGATAACTAGAGTTCCTTTTGACCTACAGCCCTCAAACTTCATAGGATGATTGGTCTTATAGAGCTGATGATCCCTATTGTTTTTGGGTCAGTAGGTCAAAGGTCAAGGTCACACTGACCGTTGGTCAATTTCTCGTTTCCGGATGATAACTAGAGTTCCTTTAGACCTACAGACCTCAAACTTCATAGGATGATTGGTCTTATTGAGCAGATGATCCCTATTCTTTTTGGGGTCAGTAGTTCAAAGGTCAAGGTCACAGTGACCGTTGGTCAATTTCTTCGTTTCCGGATGATAACTAGAGTTCCTTTTGACCTACAGCCCTCAAACTTCATAGGATGATTGGTCTTATAGAGCAGATGATCCCTATTGTCCGTCCGTCAGTCCGTCCGTCCGTCAGTCCGTCAGTCCGTCCGTCCATTCTTCGTTTCCGGACGATAACTTGAGTTCCTTTTGACCTACAGCTCTCAAACTTCATAGGATGAATGGTCTTATTGAGCAGATGATCCCTATTGTTTTTGGGGTCAGTAGTTCAAAGGTCAAGGTCACAGTGACCGTTGGTCAATTTCTCGTTTCCGGATGATAACTAGAGTTCCTTTTGACCTACAGCCCTCAAACTTCATAGGATGATTGGTCTTATAGAGCTGATTTCATCAAAATCCTTCAAAGGGTTGAAGAGTTATGGAGCAGACACAATTTCCTTTAATTTCGTTTGTGAAACTATATATGATATGACATTCAAGTGTCAAGTAGACCTTGACCTTGGAACCAGCCATACGAAACATGTACTCTAACAACGTTCTCTGGATGTGGTGAATTTTTGTTCAAGTATCTACCAGAGAGGCTTCATTGTGAAAACGAGTGAGTCATCCCAACACACTACAGTTATCATGATTTTACATACATTGTAATTTGAGTTGTCTTTCAATAGTGTAAAAAAATCTGACAATATGAACGTTTGTTTCAAGTATCATCAAAATCCTTTAAAGGTTTGAAATATTATGGAGCAGACACAATTTCATTTAATTTCATTTGTGAAACTATATATGATATGACCATCAAGTGCAATTTCGTTTGACGGCCCGCCTGCCATACGCTGATTGAATAACCAGGATTTTCAAAAATTGAATACCTGGTTAAAAACAAAACAGTTTAGAAGCATCTTCTCATACAACCTTAACAATAGAAAACCATCCATAGACAGCCTTCATTGAAGTGACTACCGGGTATTTACATTATCTTATCTCCATTTCCATTCCTGTTTCCATTCACAGTTATTCTCAGCAGTGGGGGAGACATGCGCTTTTTTACAAAAGCATCCTCTAGTTTCATATGGGGTAATCATTATCATTAATCATCATGTTTTTTATCAATTAACACATGGTTATCATTACTGTTAATTATCATGATTATTAATTGATAGAATAATAAATAGATATGGAAGAAAAAAACATTATCATTAGTCATCATGATTCATAAATTAAAAATGTGGATCATCATTTTCAATAATGGTTCTTTATCAGTAATTATGAGGTCATTTAATCATCATGACTATTAATATGTTAGCATTTGTGATCATCATTATCATTAATCATCATGAATATTGATGAATTACTATGAAAAAACAACATTATCATTAATCATCATGAATATTAATGAATTACTATAAAAATATTATCATTAATCATCATGAATATTAATAAATTACTATGAAAAAAAAAGACATTATCATAAATCATCATGAATATTAATAAATTACTATGAAGGAAAACATTATCATCATGAATATCAATGAATTACTATTAAAAGGAAAAATATTTATCATTAATCATCATGAATGTAAATTTTATCAATTTTCAGTTCTAATAATGATTAATTAAATATTCATTATATGGTTATTAGAAACTTATGATCTAATCGTCATGATTATATACAAGTTTGATATAATTTCAGCAAGCATGGGAGAAGAGGATACTGAAGAGCTTAAACAGCATGTGTACAGAGTTGAATATTCCTCTAGCCAGAAAAGTATTGTGCTCTATTTATTTGCCATTTACATTTTTCTAAACTTTGTGAAAACTAATTATTCCTTTTTAATAATGAATATGAGTAATTATTTTTAACCCTTACTCTTTGCATAGTTTCATGTTAGCCTTAAGCAAATACAATGTACATTGTATTATCTTATTATATGCCCGAAAGAATTTCCATATTATGTTATACCCCCTGGCGTCTGTCTGTCCATCTGTCTGTCCGTCTGTCCGTTAGCAATTTAGTTTCCGGAGCATAACTTAAGTTCCATTTGGCCCACAATATTCAAACTTCATAGGATGATTGTCCATATTGGGTAGAAGACCCCTATTGATTTTGGGGTCACAAGGTCAAGGTCACTATTACCTTAAAACTGAAAACAGTTTCCGGAGCATAACTTAAGTTTAATTTGGCCCAAAGTGTTCAAACTTCATAGGATAATTTGTCCATATTGTGGAAGAAGACCCCTAATTGATTTTTGGGGGTCACAAGGATCAAAGGTCAAAGGTCACTATCCCTTCAACTGAAAAACAGTTCTGGAGCATAACTTAAAGTTCCATTTGGCCCCACAGGAAACGTTCAAACATCATAGTATGTTGTCCATTTGGCAGAAAGACCCCTATTTGATTTTGGGTGGGTTGGTCACAGGTCAAAAGGTAAAGGTCATATCACCTTAAAACTGAAAACAGTTTCCGGAGATAACTTAAGTTTCATTTGGCCCAAAGTGTTCAAACTTATGGATGATTGCCCATATTGGGTAGAAGACCCCTATTGATTTTGGGGGTCACAAGGTCAAAGTCACTTCATCTTATAACTGAAAATAGTTTCGGAGCATTTACTAGTTCCATTTGGCCAACAGTGTTCAAACTTGCATAGTATATTGTCCATATTGGTAAAGACCCTATTGATTTTGGGGTCACAATCTCAAAGGGTGAAGGTCACTTCACCTGAAAATGAAAACAGTTTCCGGGCATTAACTTAAGTTTAATTTGGCCCAAAGCGTGTTCAAACTCTCATAGGAGATTGTCCATATTGGGGGTAGAAGACCCTTATTGATTTTGGGGGTCCAAAAGGTCAAGTTTATTACTTTAAAACTGAAAAACAGTTTCCAACCCTAACTTAAAATTCCATTTGGCCCACACTTTCAAAACTTCATGGGATGATTGTCTATATTGGGAGAACACCCCATTGATTTTAGGGTCACAGGGTCAAAGTTCAAGGACACTATTACCTTGTAAAACTGAAAAACATTTCCGGAGCATAATTAAGTTCCCATTTGGCCCTAAATATTACACTTAAAAGAGGATTGCTATTTAAGGAGGGTAATACTTTATGTAATTCCTGTCTTACAAATGCTTCATACTTAAATAAAAAAACAAAACACTTTGGGGTTATAGCTCCGCCTACGGGGCTCTTTTTATAAAAAGTTAATAGGGGAAATAGCTTTTATCATTAGATTTTCATGTTTAAAAATTTTTGTCAAAATTTAAATTGTCATTTTTTTAAAATTTTTTGATACATTTAATTATTTTTCTGCCCAAAAATTTCGTTCTGTAAATTTTTCTTGTAAACAGCTAAAACCCTTTTCTCACTAATGAAAAAATTTAAAATATAATTTTAACCAGAAGTAGGTTGGATTTTTTTTAATTAGTATCAAATTCTATTTTTAAAATTTATGACTGCGTTTCTCCAAAAAATTTTATTTTATAAGGTGCTGACTAAGAAAAAATGTAAATAGGGGAAAACCAATTTTATTGTTTTTTAAAACCGAGGTTTATTCCTTTCTTAAATTTGCAAAGTCTCTGAAGGCTAAAAAGCAGAACTCTTTGTCTCATATTGACACACTTGTTTTGTGTGTTAACTTGCATAACCAATTCGTTAAAGGCACATTACGCCTAAGAAACAAATTATTTTTACCACTTTGATAGGGTAAACTTCAGTTTAGTTTACTTCATTTAAGTAATTGTTTTAAAGCATATTAGATGTTTGTTACCTGATGGAAGTAACCTTTAGAGCTTGTCTGAATTGTACATAAAGTACAAATGATAACCGCCCATGGTCGAGGAGATAGGCGTTACGTCTAATCCAGTTACCTCTCTGGCATGGGTTTATCCCCGGGAAGATGCTTGTTATTTAGCAAAGAAGGTAGTCTAGTATGTTAATCCCAGGAAACGATGGTTAGGAAACTACCCGCCTATATGACGAAATACTGTTTGCTAAAAGGGCGTAAAATAAACAAACAAACAAACGTATACCACATAGTATTTGACTTTGTTTATAACAAAAATACTAAGTCACTATAACTTTTACAAATTACAAAAAAAGGCAACAGAAGATCAAGATGAGTGAAGGTAATGGTTAATGAGCTAACTTTGGAAGTTTGTTAAAAGTAATGTTACACCGAAAATTAAAAGCTTTTGAAAATTAAACATTTAAACATATTTCTTTGAATGGGCCTTAAAGAAACTCTTAATATATTT